AGGGAAGAATTGAATAGTCCTCTAGGGACAGCCCCGTTGAATTTTACTCAAATTTGGGCTTTGGCCTTCTGGGGACAATATGTTTTTAATAGTGGAATAGCAGCCATCTGCTTAGGAAAATGTCTGAGAGATCATATCGGTTATGCTGAACTTTCACAGGAGGTGAGTTAGGATTGCTCTGAGAGCTTGTCAGAGTTTTGATAATCAGCACATGCAATAAATTAGAAAGCAACAAGCTGCTGTTCCCATAGCTCTTCCACGTGATTAAACTGACTGATAATTTAAAAACCTGATTTGATTTCTTTTCCCCTCGTTTTTAGTAATATCTTCAAGGGGTCAGCAGTGTGTATGTACAGCATGACTGATGTGAGGAGGGTATTTCTTGGTCCCTATGCCCACCGAGATGGCCCAAACTACCAGTGGGTTCCCTACCAAGGACGGGTGCCATATCCACGGCCAGGAACTGTAAGTACCCTAAGGAATGTAGTAATCTAAAAAGGGAAAACTATGGAAAATATTTTAATGCATTACATGGTCCTTGAGCTGAGATCGAGGAAAGAAACTGAAAAAGATAATGGATTGGATAGGGTGGCAGAAGGGAAAGATAACAATTCCTCCAGGTCCAAAATGTACTGATTTTCTTGTGAAGTATGAAGCTGTAATAGCAACTTCCTTTGGATTTTAATTTTGGCATTCATGTTAACAACTTCAGCAGAAGTTTGAGCAATGGCTGGAGAATTTTACTGAAAGTCAAATGTTTAATAAATTATGTTGCATTATCCTTTCCTTGGAATTTGTCTTTGTTCCAAATATTGAGTGAGCCATTCTTAGTGAGAATGAACAAAAAACAGAGCATCTGTCTGGTTGTTAGGAAAATCTCAATTGTTCTCAACATTGAATCTAGTACAGTAAGACAGATATGTCTGCAATGGATGATAGAGGGACTATAATAATTTCTAACTTCCACTGGGATTTTTAAAAATCTATGCTTCTACCTGTTTCTCTGTTTCTAGTTCATGAATGACTAAAATATCAGTGTATATAAGACATTCATATTTACAACTCCCAACTGATGTTATCACATTCTATAAATATTTGACTGCCTCTGAAATTAACAGTTGTCAAAGACAATGGGACATTTATGAAAAAAAGCATTAATTGTACATGTTGAGGTACCCCCTTAGCTAGTATAAATCAGCTTGGCCCCTTTTAAGTTCTGAAATATCATTGCTGAAGACTAAATATGTATGCACACAAGTATACATATAAAAATAAACATAAATGTAAATAATACACCTGTCTGTGATATTCTTTTGAAAGTCTTAAATATAATGCAAAAAAAACCAGGAATAGCTTTGAACCTTTCTTTTAAATCATCAGATTTTCTACTTTTGACTGGTACATTTGAAATTGTTCTTTCAAACCTGAACTTTCAGCTGATCTTCAACAGTTAGACAATATCTGTGCTCAGCCTAATGAAAATGACTTCCTAAGTAAAAGAAAACAGTGGCTGCCTGACAGCCAGATTCCTCAGCACTCCTCGCTCCCTCACTACGACTGCTAAAGGGATTCCTAATTTTTTCCAGAGTTAAAATACAAGCTCTGCAGCATAGGAGAGGTTTCATTTCTCATTTGATGCTGAACTTTTTTTTTTTTTTTTAATTATTATAGTTAATGCTGATATGTCAGAGGGGTTTTTTTGAAGTTGTATTGTTTTACATCCCTGTGGAAAATGTGAATGAGTAGATATTTTTGGTATTCCTTTCATAGCTAATATCATCTTCTTTTCAATCTGTCAGACTTAGTAAGTTAGTGTTCTTTATTCTGTTTACTTATATTCCTTTTTGATTCCAGTATCGATTAACCTTTCTAAACAAAAACCAATATTACATATTATGTAAAACTACAGACAAAGAAGGATGTTACATGTTTCTGTCATGGAAATATAATGAGATAAAGATCTGACTACTGCACAGTGGCTGTGTTACATTTATTCCTGGGCAGAGATCGGACGCAGCTCTATTCTGAATGCACGACTCAAATATTTGCCCTAGAGACTGGCAGCACAGCTCTGCCTGCCCCAGAGCCTGTGGGTTGTTCTGAGACTCGTCTGAGGCTCTTGAACTGAGGTCTCTATGGGAGAAGGAGAACTTGATCAAATTCCTGAGAATAAACAGAAAAGCAGGGACCTGAATCCAGCCCCTACGTGACTAAGTGACCTAAGCCACCAGATCTTTTGCCAAAGTAGGTAAATACAGTTCCGTTACATATACTTTGTTTTTCTGGCTACCCTCATAGACTGGGCTTTACTCTTTCAATTTCACTGTAACTTATATATACTAAGATTCACAAAGAAAGTTCAAAGATGTTCATAATTCATTGTAAACATTTTTATTGCCTAAGGGCAAATGTGATCCCAATTAGACAATTCTCCATAGCCCTGCAGTCTCATCGTGTAGTGCAAGAGGCCATGCCACTGTAGATGATGTTAATTAAACAGTGGCTGAGGCCATCATTTCCTCCTAGCCCACTGCCAGTGACTTTGATCCTGGTGTCTACCACTTCAAAAAAGATTTTTTTTTTCCCCTTATAGTTGCTAAAATCATCCTATTGTATCAGTAGAAATCTGAATTTTAGAATGAGAGTAATTTCTGGCTCAAAAGAAGGTTTTTGTTCCTAAGTGATAAAATTGGATATATTTTCAATGACTTTGAAGACCTGTTGAGAATAAAGAAGGTTTTTGAAGTTCCTTTAGATGTCAGACTTGTGGCTTCCTTTTCCAAGAAACAGGGAAAGGGAAGAGAGAAACACAACCTGAGCTTCTTACAGTGATTCAGTTCCAGATCTCACTGCAGTTAGTGCCAAATTATCTGAGGAATTTACTAGGTGAGGTGCCAGTAAACTTCTTGAGCATCTGGTGACTTGCCCAGTATGAGTAAAGAAAAAGGAAAGTTAATAGTTCCTTTGAAAAGTCAGAAAACTTTGTAAACAATTCTACATCAGCTTCACATTTAACAAAGAACTTGCCAGGGTTTTTCCTTTAAGATCTATATAATTTTTTATTTTTTTTTTTTTTTTTTTTTTTTTTTTTTTTTTTTTTTTTTTTTTTTTTACCTTTTAACAATATTTGGGATAGGAGGGAGGATTTTTGTATATACCTCATCTTGAATGAAGCACCTCATCCTGAATTCATATCTGACTTTCTGTGAATTCAGCTATCAGAGCTTGAGTTTTCTCTGCTTCATGGTACCAGGAGTCTATCTTCAGTTATGATCAAAACACTTTTTGTTCCTACCAGAATGCGGCTATTGATTTATTCTGCTGGATTTCCCAATAGGCCAGTTAGGCGATAGCCTAGTTACCTCCTCCTGACTGATCAGAACCCCTCACATAGCTTACTGGGGACCAGCAACTGGAAGTGGATGATAAATGCAGGAGTTCCTTGACTCTGCTTGAATACAACCTTGAATCTGCTTGAATCAAGCTCATTTCTCCAAACTTTTTTAGGACATTTGTATTCATGCCTATCTTTTGACACCTGAAACCTTTCTATTTCCTTGATATCAGTGGGATTGATCAAGTGTATAAACATGAGCTCTGATGAAGCACCTTGCCAATTAGCTTGACCTAGGCCCACTAATATAAAGGATAATGTCTTTGTTGTGTATCCTGGTTTTGTGACCACAACATAAGTAAACATGACAGGACTTTCCTCCTCAGAACAACTCAGACTTTATATGTGTTGAGATTCCTGTGCAAGCAGTTTGGACTATGGATGGGCTAAATCTCACCCATTTTGAAATGGTGCCCATTTTCACTCCATTGACAAGGGATGGAGTTATAACAAAGAGAGTTTTATTTCATCTAAGTCGTTTGCCTAAAGTGGGGTGGGATGAATGTAAGCCATGGACTACTCCAGGTAGTTCACTTTAGATATAAAGACACAAAGTTACTGTCATTTGTTTATTCCCATAAAAGCAGGGTATCCAAGCAGTAATCTGGCTCTCAGAACTGCAAGTCTCATTTAAACACACAGAATTATGAAACTAATTCTAGTTTCATGTTTTTTCTGTATGAAATATATCTTGGTCAACATTGCTGCGAGTACAGTCCTTTGTTACAAAATGAGCCAGAAAGTAAATATTCAAGCAATAGAAACACAGCTGAAATTCATTTACTTAAAATTGAAATTAATATTCATTTAATGATTTTTTCTCAGTGTTTACCCAGCTGCAATTAACAAGACTTAGTTCTTGTGTAGTGATTTTTATACTTAAAGCACTTTATAAATATTATCTAATTAATAATTATTTAATTAATCTGAGTAATTAGTATTGAGCAGCAATTAGAATATTAATCAAGTGTAAAGCAAACTTAAAACAGAAGTGTAGAATTTTAAACATGATTTTGAGACAGACAATGGTTTAGCCAATGATTGTAAAAACCCTGATTTTCTCTTTGTAATATTTCTGTACAAGAGAGAAAGAACATATAATAGTGAAAGACTGAAAAATGTTGACACAAGATACTTGCTTTTTGCTTAGTCTGCTCCACATGCATTAATCAAATGTCCTTCCTCCCTCCCTTCCTCCCTTCCATTCTTTATAATGGAACAGAGTGCAGGAATTTGCTTACTAACAAATATGCCAAAAAGGGACAATTTACACTTTATATGTCCATGCTGGAACCATCCCTTTGCTGAGTATAACAACTACTGCTTTTGACAACATTGATTTTTTTAATTTCATTTCTGATGAATTATTAATAATTTGGATCAAGGTGATAGCAAAGACAATTGATTTCATCGACTGAGCGTGCTGCAGGGTTTGGATTCTTGGCTAATAAGATGTTGTCCTCTAGGTTTTTAAGTTAATTGGAAGATATTCTATACGTGGATATAAAGGGCAAATTATCTCGGGCATTTTAACACCAGCTGTTTATATTTCAAGTTCAAATGCTGTAAATAGTAATTGTCAGCTGGGTTTCAGAGTTTTATATGTCTTAAATATCCGTCTCTGAACAGATTAGGAGTGAAGAACACCAAGTTCTTTGCTGAGTATCTTTGGCCTGGTGTTTTAATGCCATTGTGGTTAATTTTCTTCATCCATTCAACATTACTAACGCACTGCTAATACTTACTTTAAAGTAACCTCTAATTGTTCATAAAATAATTACGAATTCTACAGAAGACACAAGGGCAAATAGTGGTCGTTAGAGGTCACAGTCCTCATATCTCTCCTTGGGGACATGAGCTAGGTGAAAGTGGAGGGATATTTATGTGAAAACCAAAGCCATGGTCTTTGCTTTCCTTCCCTTCTCAGCCTCTACATTTTACTCACATTGGGAGAGCGTGAGCAGAGAATTCTCTGCTTTTCATGGATGTGTCCCACCCATGGCTGTATAAGGGGCCAAAGGGACTCTTTCCTGTGTTACTTCATGGAGATGAGCTTAATCCCAAGGGGACACCAACTTTTCCTTTACTGTGCAGTACACAGCAGGGAGGACTCATGTCAGTTCTTTAGTGAGAGTCATCTCACCTGACTGTTCACATTGACAGTATGAGCAGCAACACTCACAGAGGCTTTCTTTAGAATAAATGGAGAGCTAAGAGACACATTTGGGACATGAGTCATTTGATTTGATTTAGTGTAACAAGATCCATGTTATCCAGACTACATGGATGGCATAGGCTTGTTGAGACAAGCAGGAGTTTGAAAAGTCAGTAGAAGAGGGGAATTGTCCCAGTGTTTAAGGATTTGGTTCCTCAGAGAGGAATTGATTTCCGGTCAACTTCTGAAGACAATACTTTGCAACTAAAATGGTGGCATAGTTGATTAATTTTCTGTTGCATACATAACCAAATCCTGAAATTGCTTCTCTCATATTGAGTGACTTCAGATAATTCAAGATTTCTTCCTTCTGGCGATCAAAGATTACTAAACAATAAATGACTGAAAATCTTTTTGCACTGCATAGTAGTAAGAAAAATGATGTGTGAGGATCATTTACGTTCTGTTAACCATATTGATTTAAATCCAAAATGAAAAAAATAATAGAGATGTTTAGTGATTTTTGCTGTCTGTCATGAAACAGTTAGATCCCCTGTCATATTTAATTATAGACTGCCGTAGTTGGGATGATTGTAATTAAATGGATTTCTAATATGTTAGTAGTGATCAATAATACAATGTAAAACATTTTATTTTTTATTTCCAGTGTCCCAGTAAAACATTTGGAGGCTTTGATTCCACCAAGGACCTTCCTGATGAAGTTATAACATTTGCAAGAAGTCATCCAGCCATGTACAACCCGGTATTCCCCATCAACAACCGTCCAATCATGATCAAAACAGACGTGGATTACCAGTTCACACAGATAGTGGTAGATCGAGTAGACGCAGAAGATGGCCAATACGATGTGATGTTCATTGGCACAGGTGAGACACTGTGTGCTCCTCCAGGCGTTATGGAGTCCTAGATCAGATAAAATTTCATCGTCTGAAAGACAAAACACTGATTTATGTTCCAGTGTATACCTGTGAATATTTGAGGCAAGACTCCAGCCTGTGCGTGTGGGGAGGTCTTTGTTACACACATTCACTGTTACAGGTTCAGGCCATGGCCTGCATAGCTTATTTCTTTAGGAGCTTTGCCAACTGGATTAAGATCAAACCGCTCTCTTTTCAACTACTGTTATTAGGGAATTTTATTAGAAATATCTTGCCTTATTAATTATAATTTAGTATTAAAATGCCAGTTTTGAGGTACTCATTTTGAAGCGCAGCATAAGATGTATTAACATGAATAAGGCAGGTATCCAGGTATGGGAAATGTCTTGTGTGCCTTTCAAGTATTTCAGGTACGATGCCCAGCTCTTTAGCCAGAAGAGTGCATCGTTTTACTTAACATGAAGATATCTGGCACACGCATTTTAAGAAGTGTTCTTGTTCAAACAGAAATGTGATACCATTTCCAAAGCATTTGTGGAATCATACAACTTGAACACTTTATAAAAGTGGAAATACGCACTCAGAAAAGAGATTTTTTTTTCCAGAAAGTTAATAATGAGAAATAACAGTGACCAGAAATTAGCTCATATGTATTTACCTAAGTTCAGTGTCTTCAGAACTATGCTGATGCAGTTTGTAGATCTGCTCCTTCACCTTTATTCATTAGTTGGCTGTCGTTTCACTTATGTTGAATAAAAATATTTAAAACTTCTATTGAACATAGTTGTTAATAATCAGACATTGGCATCATGAAGTCAGAACAAATCAAACCAAACCCCCCCTTTTTCTTTCCAATTTTGAACCAAAAAATATCTGTCTGTCTGCCTGTCTTATAACAGTCTGATTTTTGACTTGGTTTAAGTGCAGCTCTGGTACTCTAGACCTGAGGTCAGATTTCCAAAGCAATAAATCTTAAGGTCTCTTTCATGTTGATGCCTGAAATATATTATGAGTAAACTGAGAGCTGATGAAGCTTTGTGTACCAAACACAGTGCATGCATAGCAATTCAGAACATTTACTGCAGGAAATGCAGCTCTGCAGAAAGTATTCCAGCTCTTTAAAGCTGTGAACTGAGTTATTAGATATCCGTGCTACAGTGCTACAATATGTTCTTGTATAAAACACTGAAAAGTAGTTTCATATGATTTTACACAACACATATATTTTCCATCACACATTAGAGATTTCAATGCCATCTACACTTGGCAGTGTTTTGTGCCTTTCAACAGGTCTTCTATGACCTGATTCAGCCCTAAAAAAAATTAATGGCAATACTCCCCTTGACTGTGATGTGAGGGAACAAGCCCTTCAGCATCCAGAGTATGATGCTGAACAAACATAAGGAGCTGATTTATGTCTACATCTTGAGCATAAGAGGTGGCATTTATCTCACCAAAGTGTGGCATTCAGTCTAAGAAAGATGCCTTGGCTGCTGCAAGTGAAAATGAATGATAAGTACTTCCAGAGAGAGATTCATTGTACTTTCTTCAAGACCTCTATTAGAGTAAGATGAATAGTTATGCAGAAATTCCTGTCTGTTTCTGTACAGTACAGGAAGGCTTGCTTAAACCTGAGCTATAGCTTTTAGATAGTTATCTTTACATATAGTGCTTCTTATGTAAATTAGTCAGGCAAGGTCTCCCTCTGAAGGAGCCTCAGTGGTATCTAGCTCTTACAATTCAGTTGGGAATTGAGGTGCTCTCTTAATTCTCTAAACCACCAATATTCAGATGTGTGGTAAGTGCTCTGGATCCCATCCAAGATTGCTGATATTTGTTCCTAAGAACTGCAAGAAAAGTATTGAAAGATTATTACTTGCGCTTGCCAAAAGAGATTTCAGCACTAAAAATGCAGCTTTGTAAGGGCAGAGTGTTATTATTTCTTGAAATATTATTTGTGTCCATAGAAACTATTCTTTTTCCAGGAGCAGGTTATACCCTCATGGGACAAGAACAGGAGTTACACCTGTGCTTGGACCTGGGGCACAAAAGGTGCTCTTCTGAGCTCACTGTCATTATTGTGGTTTTCAGAAAGAGGAAAGGGCATCTTCTATGCAGGGGGGAAGGAAAGGAGGCAGAACTGAGGCCCTGCCTGCTCTCTGCCAGAAAGCTGCACTGAGCTGCCTGGTCAAAGTCAAAGAACCAGAAACAGATACATAATCAGCACGTATTACATCTTCCCCAAGCAAAGAACAAGCTGGGGAGCAGATTAGGGACTCTGGTCACAGTCCAGTTTTCCACTGGATGATCTGAATTTATGACAAAGCCAGAATTAAGCTCTCTGGGGTATGGCTGGGTTTTTCTGCGCAGGTCTGCCCCATCAGATTAGATACATTTGTCTGTATTTTCCCATTGCTTTTGCAGCAATCTCCATAATTCCCACATGCTGCTGAACTTCAATATGTTGAAGAAATACTTTTTTTTTTCCTTTTCATTGTATAACTGTTGATAATTGAATACAACTTAATTAATAGCCATCCAGTGTGCTCACATTTTCCTTTCCTGTGGGTGAAATCTTTAGCTGAGCAGTTTCTTTCCCACCGTGATTGTACCAGTGTGTTTCACAATGGAAATGAAATCATATTGGCATGCTTGAAATTATATCAGAAAAAAAAAACAGGATTTAAGATATGCACTTAATGCATATCCTGAGCGTCTGATGTTTGGGATCATTTGGCACAGTCAAGGTACATCTGTCAGTAAAGCAAATTAATAACAGTAATCTTATCTTACTGAGCAGAGCCTATTGATCCTAAAGGAGAAGCCTGATTCCATTTGTGTGAAATTGTTTGAAATACTACTCTATAAAACTTGATCTAGAACTGAGATAAAGCCCCACTTTGGTACCTGTGGCCTGACCAGAGTCGCCGTAGTGATTAACCCAGTGTATCTTTGACCTCAGAGGCTTTCTCAAGCATCAAGCGACTGTAATTGTTGCAGGATCCACTTAAAAGTCAGACCTTCTTTTGAAACAGCATTATGTGGGGAGCTCATGTCTGCTCAGTGCCCACTAAGGCCCCACAGTTTCCCTTGTGCTGTTTTATCAAAAATCCCCCTTTATTTCTAGAATATGACATTTGATGGATCGTGACTGAGGACAGTCATAGTCCAGCACAGAATACAGTCATAGCACATTGCTACGCTGTTATATTTATTAGATCAGAGTTCTCTTTTTTTCATCTATACAATGTATTTTCCTTAAAACCACAGTCATCAAATTATCAGGATAATTAAGGAAATGAACTCATCCACTAAAGTACAAATAAAACTAATGTAAATTGTAATTAATTACTCTGCTATAGAAATATGGATTTTTTTCTTGTTTCAAAGTTTATATTGTGTTTGTTCTGTATTGTTCTCAATATTCTTTGAATTAAATATATTCAATTAGTTCAATTAGTAGCAGTAGCCATAATGAAAACCACTTCCAAAACAACTTATCTAGTATATTTTTCTAGCTTAATTTGTACATGTGGCTGCCTAAATAAAAAGAAATCTGTGCTTTGCTTTGTTGTTGTTAGGAAAGAACTGTTATTTTTTTTTTTCTTTTTAGATTAGGATCTATAAATTTGTGACTATTGAAAGAAAACAGTGATGTATATATTTTGTGGAAAAAAACTCACTGCTTTCTAAACTTCCAGAAATATGTACTTAGAAACCAACATATGCTTAAAGACGAGCAGATAGAAAAGTGAAAAATCTCAATTCTACTGCATATTGTAGGATTTCTAGAATATTTTAATCCAAATTCAGATAGAGAAGTTGAAATACCAGAATTTTCTCATTAAATCAATAGCTTTTAAGTCAGTCACCTTATAAAAATTTTTCAAACTGTGTAACTATTTGTTTCAATTTTATACATACTTTCAATATAGAAGCGGTAGATTGTCATCTTTTTGATCAAAAGTTTCAACTAACACACACAAATATATATCCAAGCAAAATATATTTTGATTTGGTGTAATTGATGGTTAATTTTTTTTTTCTTTTAGAATGTTGACCTTTATGGTTCTGTTCCTCTGAGAATTTTATCCATTTTCAATGCCTAATATTTTCCTAAGCTGTTACTACTATAGACTGTGCAGCAGGAACAGTCCTCAGGGAATAGTTGTTATTCCCATGATATATTTACAGGGCACTATACTCAGCTGGTTAAAAAGAAGAGTCACAGACAGAGTGTTTCCATTTCAGAGAGTCTGCAGTGAGGTGTACCAACCTAGGAATGATTCTTTTCTGTTCTTGTTCCCTGAAGATTCTCCTCCTGGAAACAAACAAATAAATCACAGATGCAGAAGCTGTAAAACAGAGATGGTCTTAAGCCTCAGCTGTATTCGCAAAACCAAAGACTGTAACTCTGGAATTTCAAGCGTTGGCAGTGTTCACGTTAAAGCCAACTGTAAAACTCCAAGAATGTAAATGGATATAGTATTATGTGTGCTGGCACATACCTATTTCTAAACAGAAGATACAAGTTGTATTGCTTTTTACCCCTCAGCGAAGACCAGGATCTAATAGACAGAGAAATACAGATGCCTTAAGGGCCTTATACATCTTAGGTACTTTGTTTGACATGGGGAAGATCGCATGTACTTAAGAGATCTAACAGCTTCATCTCTAGCAACATTTGTCCAGATGTTTTTGTATCCATACTGAGCCTTCTGACAGCATCTTCACATGCATATTAAGAATGACAAACATATTCAAAATGGACAATAAAACATGCCTGGGTAAATTTAGTGCATTTCCTTCCTCAATTAAATGACTGAAACATCTGTCTTTTTATACTGTCACTTAAATAGTATTTCAGTCCTTTTCATTCTTTAATAACTATAGCAGTATTTATCCTCTCTGTTGCATTTTGATAACTGAAAGACTTCAGTGAAATGTCTCATTGGAATTCAGTGTTTTGCGAGGTTATTTTAAATAGCAGTCAGTATTTTGAACAACAAGTGCTCAGAGATACGTAGCTTCACAATCTTTATGTGAAATAATTATATACTACAAGAAACTGGCTGCTCTCAAACTGAAGTATGCATCTTAAGCACCTGAAAACTTTTTTTTTTTTTTTTTTTTTTTTCCTTTTCAAGATATTGGAACAGTTCTTAAAGTGGTTTCAATTCCTAAGGAGACTTGGCATGAATTAGAGGAAGTCTTGCTGGAAGAAATGACAGTCTTTCGGGTAAGTGCGGCTAAATTTCAAGTGTCAGGTTGTAGATTTCTCTGTGGACAGCTGCAAACGAAACTTCTTGCAGTCGAGCCAAGGAATAGCCTGGCGTACCCCTCTAATTAGCTTGTCATTTAGAGACCCAGACACTAGTCAAAATAAACCTTGGAACTTTCAGTGCTAGCTGGAGGTTAATGATAAAAGAAAAGGCATTCTGGCCTCTTGTTTTGTGGTTTAAAAAGTAAATTAGTATCTCTGAGCCTTAGAGCTGTTCCATGCTGTAGTTAATATGTATCTGTGCAAGTCTGGGAACAATGCCTGTCTGTTTTCTCCCACAGAGATATGCCATACACAAATTTTATACTTGCATCAAGTCTTAACACTATTCAGGCTATCAGGATAGTGTTTACTAGGGATACTCCAGGAAAAACAGTGATCTGCACAGATTTCTTATGCCTAATCATCTGAGAAACAAAGAGAGTGTTTATCTTTTCAAAGGGGACTTCAGGGTCTCATTTTCATGGTTTGACTCAGGACACCGTAAACACCCTCTAATCTTTAGTACTTTTTTTGTGAAAATCAATCTCTTCCATTTTTCCTATCTGAGCCACCTAAAAAAACATGGCATCCCACAGGCACTCCTGCAAGCCGGGGCTGAGTCAACCTTTCAAACACTTTCCAGACAGAACCCAGGGATGTCTTGTGTTCTGTACACAAAAACGAATCATTTACATTCCCCGCGTTATTCTTTTTGTCAGTGCAGTTTTATGGCACTGTTTCACAGGCTCCAGGCTTTCAAGGGGTTGATACCTAGCTGGGAACATGAAGTTAATCTGACAGCGAGGAGATGATGCTTGTGTGCAGGGAGAGCCCCACGGCGCGTGCTCTCACTCCAGATGTGCTGATGAGGGCTCTGCTCCCAACCTACCCCAGGGGCCCAGCCACCATGTCCTCATCATGCTCAGTTGCTATCCCTTTATCTTTGGTTTCTGAACAGACAAAAAATATTTAAAAAGAGCTTGTATATCTTATTATTTTCAGTATTACTTTTTTTTTTTTTTTCTTATGGGCAGTTTTGCCTTTACTGGTACTAGTCTTGCACAGAAATAGCTGTTTGGAGTGCAAGATACCACTCAAAAATGGGTATCTCTCTTTCTGCAATCCATGGTTTTTTTTTTTGAGGGCAAAAGTGTGTTTTTTTTTCTTTTTTTAAGAGAAAAATAAAGTAGAAACTGTGAGGAGAAAATGAGACATGTAATTTGTGGCTCCCAGCTTTTTCTCTTTTTTATACATGCAAAAGTCATTACATTAATGCAGGGTAATTTGGCAATTGTTGATAATCTATGAGTCTCTTCCCTAAATCGAGTAGAAGTGCCAAGCTAAAAGAGATCAGAGAAAGAAAATAAACGGAGTACAAGTTTTATTTCAGAAAGTCTTTACAGAAATAGAATGGTTAATAGCAAATTTAAATCTGGTATTTTAGTATTTCAGAAAGTCTTTACAGAAATAGAATAGTTAATGGCAAATTTAAATCTGGTATTTTACTTTACATGTGTATTTATTTGCCACACAAAAGGATTTTGGTGTTCTGATTTACTTGAAAGATCATTTATCTACTTTGGCATGTATTTAAACCTTAAAGAGGACATTAATGTACTTCAGTGGAATGAGCAGAATTTGTATGCGTACGGTGTGGATCTTTCAATAGGGAATTTGCAATAGATTTTACATGTACCTTAACAAAATGTGTGTTTTCCTTAGTTACTAAGGAGTCTACGTGCATCATAAACAATGTATTTTGATGCTTAAGCTGCAATGTGCTCAATACAATGCTTTTCATTTATAATTCCATTAAACTGAAAGTCTTCCATATCTGTTACATTGATAACAAATACTTCTTTTATCCCCATTTGTGCAATATTTCTCTGAACAGCTGAGCAAACAAACTAATGAGTTCAATTTTCATTCAAATGTTACACTTAATTGATGCTTTCTAATACAAGGTCTATCAATGCATTTGTAAAGGCAACTCCACATGCTTAACATCCACTGACCCATATCAAATACTCTCAGGATAAGCAGGTTGAAAGCTAAACAAGTGTAAAAGCTTAATAAGGATTTTATTAATGTACATAACCAGAAGTATGGTGCGTGGGATCAATAGCAGATTTTCAGGTGGAATAAAGTTCATACAGAATTGACTTGCACACTTTGTAACCAAATTATGCCACTTTTACTCTCAGGATTAAAATCAATTCAAGCAGCTGGGCCTAAAAGTCGTAACAGTCTTTTAATCAGATCTAAATATACTTATTCTGTTAAATACTTCCTCAGTCTCTCATGTAAGAGAGTGGATATTGGTTTGACATCTGTTTGCTACAGATAAGTATAGTTAAGAGTAGACTTATCTAGGAGAACAGGGACTGTCCTAGTGACCCGTTTGGTTGATTAAATAATGGCTATTCCAGGGTGCAAAAACCATCCTGTCAGTTACGGTTCTGTGTTCTGCAAATCTGGGTAACTCCTTTGTATGTGAACAGTGTAGTGCAGTCAACAAGATTATGCTTGAGATTAAGGTTTATTTTTATGAATAAAATTTTGCAGGAATGGGTTTTTCAACTTGATATGGTTAAAATGTGTTGCTTATTTCAGTGTTATCAACTTCAGTATAGAGTATCTATGTATTTTGATACAACAATTATTATTTTCGTATTACTTGGGCTGTTCTTTAGATATAGTTTTAATGTTAAGTGTAGAAATTAATTTCAAGATGTGAAACTAGTAAGAAAGTTGTCACAATGAAACTGTAATAATCATGGAAAATGACATGTCTACAATCAACATAGCAATCAAAGATGCACCGGATACATACATGCATTCTAATTCACTTACAGCTAGAAACTATTCCGCTGCGAAAGACAACAAGAAGCACTCTTACTAAGGAGTGTCTAGGTTAATTTCAGGGTTTCTATATTGGGCAAATAACATTCTAGCAGATTTTTTATTTATAGAGCTCATTTTATATTTTAACTCTTCTTTTTTTTTTTTTTTTTTTTTTTTTTTCTTTCCCCCCCTAGGAACCCACTGTTATTTCAGCAATGAAGATTTCCACAAAACAGGTACTATGTGCACAAACTTTAAATCACTTTAAAATATTAATTGGTCTCTGTCTTTTAGAGACAGTAACTTGGCAGTCACTAGAGACATATTAATTACAGCAGCAGCATCCCATCCCTTTACATCAGTAGTTTCTCAGGAAAATGTGACATTCAAAGGAGAAACGAAAAGTCTAGTTTGTGTTATGTTCTGTTAAGGTGGAAACTGAACACAAACTAACCATCTGTCTGGAGGTTTTCTAGAAAAAAAAATTCCACATTATGGAATGTTCTCATGACAGAGAAACTGTTCAAAACAAGTAGCCAGACTTGGTCTCTTGCTTTAATGAGACTAGTTCTAGTCTCTGTAGGAATAGTCTAGTACAAAATGCAGATAGTGGAAGCAAAGACTGGAAATGAGACATCCTCCTGTCTTTCTGTCAAATGCCCATTCCATTCCTGGATGTGCATCATTCAGCCTTAACAAAAATGGTAGATTTGATTTAGTCCAAATTTTCCAGGCCTTCTGGTTCAGTGCCATGGTTAGGATATGGGTTCCAGACTCCAGAATTTATATTTCCTGCTTTCTGTTGAGTGTACTAAGTTCTTAAAGAAAAGTATTATAGCCTTTGTTGTAGACCTTAACTAAAATGATCTGGATTTCTTGATGGATGGAGGTAAAGTTTTGTCTGAATTACAGTAAAGGTGGTTCCTGCATTTCTGAGCAAATACTGGCAATTATTGTTTGTCTGCTTTGTGAAGCAGCTGATGAATTAGGTACTTGTACAACAAACTTTATGTTGCAGTCTGGGAATGAAGTGGGTATTAGGGGCTTATCTTCCAGTTCTGCCTGGAATTAGATAGGTGGACATCAGCCACTGTCATTTAAGTCTGAGACATAAAATTTAGTGTCAAATTTAACATAATAAAACTTTTTTTATTATTTTTCATATTTGTGTTGGTTTGGAGCCTAATTCAATAAATACAAGCAACTTGTTCATGCACATTATTTTTTCCATCATTGTCATTGTCAGTAAAGAGGAGGTTTGGTATTACTTCCAGGACTGGCTGCACTAAAAATTGTGTGTGTTATAAATGAGTGTTAGTTAATTCATCTACCTGACTCTGTACATTATTAAACAGAAGCTGAATTCATTCTGTAACAGACAGAGCTCAATATTATGTTTGAAATGCTGCATATTTAACTCAGAATTCACTGTATTTAGGAAATTTGTCTGAAAATATTCATGTATTTGACAGAAAACATGTTGTTTGGGGATGCTCTTCTGACACAGTTTATCACCTAAACCAACAAAAATGGCAAGACAAAAAAAATGTCCTATTGAATACTGGGATATTTAAAAACAAACCTGTCAAGCTGTATATATGTTCACATCATACCAAAATACCCTGCTTTGGATTATTTTTATAAGTACATTCCCTTAAAGCAGCCAATCAGATTTGATAACTGACCATGCGTTTTCACACAAACACTTATTCAAAGCACCCTTAGTTATTCAGGAGAGATTACCATTTTCCCTGAGTCTTTTGAAAACAAATGTACACTGCTAAAATTGTCTAAAGCTAAAAAAGAGCATAAAACACAAGTCATTCAGGCAGAGTTAAGTCATGAAAAATCAACCAGCCTCAGGCTAAAAATGACAGAATCATGATACAGTATGACAAGCTTTGGCACTGTGTCTCTGTGTCGAATAAGTATATGGCAACATGTAGTTTTATAACTCAAACACTTTACTCATTGTGTTCTGATAAGCAGGGCATTTTTCATATAAACAGCATGATAATTCTATGCATTGTAGAAAGCAGGAGCATGAAATGTAAACAGTAAAACCAGCATGTCCTGTTGAATAACTTGAAATATAAATAACTTCACTTTGGTTTTTCACTAACAGTTCTTTCATCCAATTATAAAAACATGGTATGGGGTGTTTCCCCTTATTTTTTTAATTTTATGACACCAGTTATTCAAAGCTACCTCTTTTGCCATCGTGCCAATATGATATTTTACAAATGACATTTCTTCCTAAAGAGCAAAATCTACAAATTCTTCAGGAGCAGAACTTAGTGTACCTTTTGAATTATATAAATTATATAAAACTTCCATGTCTCTCTCTATGAGTATGAAATTGGCCCTTGAGCGAGAGTGACTTTGAGCAAGGAAATATATCCTTTATGTGCAAGACTAAGCCTTGATGCAGTCTTTCTCAACTCTGCTGTCTTTAACTCACAGGAATTACATTTTCTCAGTGAATCTATGTATTCCTCCTAATTGGGTTCAGAGCCTCAGGTTTGTGTAGCTTTATTACCTGAACAACTTATTCATGGCTAGAAATAGGCACAAACCTCCAGAGGACAGCATCCTAGAGCCACTGTAACACTGCAGCTGCCTAAATTCAGAGGTCTGTGGGAGCCAGGCTTGCCAGGACCCCCTGGCTACCGCTTGGCCCTGAGTCTGTCAAGTGGGGCTCCATCATTTTTCCCTCAATTTAAAAATGTGGAAGCATGCCAAAAAGTCGGGCCTGGCTTTCAGTCAAAGGTAACTTTTTGGGGTGGAAGCTCCCATCTTTTTCTCAGGGTCAGGTTTGTGATCCTCTGTTTCAAAAAGCCATTGGATTTGTGGTAAGATGGTAAGAACTCCAAGGAGACCCTTGGCTGATAACAGGCCATCTCCTTGTCTGGTGAGGTGCTATGAAGAGCTATAATTTCTCCTCCATAAGATTCTCAGTCAAAGGCAAGGCAGAAACCTTCAGAAAGGCTTTGGTGACTACTTTCATAGTGCTGTTCACAAAGCACTGAATTTTATTCAGAGATGATAATTTCTTTCCGTAGCGAGCATATAGAAAAGACAAACTCAGAATGGATGTCACTTAAACAGACACCTGAACTATTCAGCATCAGTTGCTCTTCCAGACATAAAAATAATTTAAATGAGATTTGAACCTCATGCTCCCTAAAGTCCCTTTTAAAATTCTGCCTAAATTCTTCTTTACAATCTTCTTTTTAAGCACTACTTTTTTTTTTTTTTTTTTTTTTTTTTTAATTTGAC